TTCCTATGAACTTTGCATAGTAATTTATTAAGCCCAAAAAAGCTCTTAGTTGTTGGGTATTTTCAGGTTTGGGTGCTTCTTTAATGGCTTTTGTTTTCTCAGGTTGAGGTCTGATACCTCGCTTGCTTAATATATAACCAAGAAAACTAATTTCTGTCAGCATGAATTGACATTTATCTTTGTTTATCTTTAAACCTTTTTCACCAACAATTTTCAATACTTTATCAAGTGTTTTAAGATGTTCAGTGTCATTCTTACCAGTTATGTACACATTGTCAAAGTACACACAAACATTTGGAATATCCTTAAAAATACTGTCCATGACAGCTTGGAAAATTCCAGGGCTAGATGATATGCCAAAACATAGTCTTTCATATTGGTAGAGTCCTTTATGTGTGTTTATTGTCGTATAGACTTTTGAATCTGGATGCAGTTCTAGTTGAGTGTAAGCATGACTAAAGTCTAATTCAGTGAATTTGTCTCCTCCTGCCAAATTCAAAGAAATTTCCTCAATGTTAGGTATAGGGTACCTATTTAGCTCTATTTGCTTATTGAGTGTAGTTTTATAATCTCCACAAATTCTTATAGAACCATCCTTCTTTAACACTGGCACAATGGGTGTCGCCCAATCGGAATAGTCTACCTTCTTTATGATGCCATTAGATTCCAATCTACTTAGCTCATTTTCAATTTTGTTCCTCATTGCATAAGGTGGAACTCTAGCTTTGCAGTATCTTGGATTTGTATCTTTAATGCTTAACTTCACTGTTCTATCATTTAGTAATCCAGAGTTACCAAAAACACATTTATTTTCAGATATAACTTTATCTAGTGAAGTAAGACTAGATTCTTTTACATTCTTCAATGAACAAATACTCTCCCAATTTAACTTAAGATCACTTAACCAGTTCCTACCTAGTAATGGCGGTCCATTTCCTTCAACCACAAGAAGAGGAAGTTTAACACTTTGACCATTATAACTTACATGAACCATACACTCTCCTATTACCGGAACATTGTCACCAGTGTATGTTGTTAGACACTTGTGACACGGCTGTAGAGGCACTGATCCTCCTGTGAGAGCGTCAAACTCTTTCTTTGTTATGACTGTTAGAGATGCTCCAGTGTCAAGTTGGAAGCTGATGCTCTTACCGTTGATATTAACTTGTACATTGATGGGAGCATGACTCATTGATTTCACAGAGAACAGGCTGAAATCCGGCTGCGAATCAGTTTGAGAATTTTCACAGGTAGAGTGGTTCATTGGTTGGGTTAGGTAGTCTTGGTGAGAGTTAACATAGTGCTGCTTTTGGTTGCGGTACTGTCTTGACTGGCTAGATTTAGCAACAGACGAAGACTTTGCAAAGCAGGCCTTAGCAATGTGACCTTGCTCACTGCACTTATAACAAGTTGCAGACTTGAACTTGCACCGATGAGATGCATGGGGACCTTTGCATCGATGACATTTTTGATAATTATTACTAGATTTAGATCTAGGATTTGAACGAGCAGGGTGTTTAGCATAAGTTGGAATGCTCTGTTGGGGTTGGTTTTTATTGACTAACCTGCTGTTTACTGCATGGATCCCTGAAGGTGCTAAAGATCTCGCCGCATCTGATGACTGCTGGATTGAAGTTGCGAGTTGTATTGCTTTTTCTAATTTTAGATCTGACTCGAGCAGCAACCTTCTTTGAATATCAGGGCTGTTTACACCTGTCACAAACTTTTCACATAGTCTGTCAGACAGCGTTTCTCCAAAATCACAGAATCTACTTAAATGACGTAAAGCAGCAACATATTCTGATATTGACTCGTTTGGTTGACGAGTCCTACTGTCAAATCTAGCTCGACATAGAAACTTTGATGGGGTAGGCGCATGGTGGTCTGTTAGCAATTTGCTCAGCTCGTTAAAGCTCTTGGTATCTGGACTAGCTGGTGCGCATAAGTCCTTTAGTAGCCTGAATTGTTGAGGCCCTATGACTGTTAACAAAACAGCTCTCTTTTTGGCTTCTATCGTCACGTCGTTAGCTTCTAGGTAAAAGCTTAACCTCTCTAGGTAATCTTGAATGATTTCATCATTCGCATCAAATTCTTTTATTTGGCCATACAGCGCCATAATTCTAGAAATAATTAGCTAATAAGCTCTAGCAAACCTCTTTTTTGCGTAAGTAGGTGCTCTTTCTAGTAGATGTTTATCCTTCGTCGCCAGTTATAATAGATTGACGACAGAAGCCTGTGGTTGTATATAACACATTTAATGGGTCTAACTACCACGATGGTAACACACCGAGAGGACGGAAGGAAGTACACAAGGGACATCACTCAAGATAACAATATTATAAATATAACTAATACAGAAGAGTGAGTTCCCTTGACCTCACAATTATTTCAATCTATTACAGTAGTTGATATTATTGTAGTAGAAGGCTTTAATAAATTACTAAGGCCTACCTACTTTGTTGTCTTTTTACAGCAATATGTATCTGATACTGGACTGAGTTTAATTAAATTCAAATTCATATCTAGTAATTGGTCTACTAAGTTTTTGTAGCCTAGTAGTACAATCTAGATCATACCAGCCAACAACAAATAACCACATTATTATTTTTTGGCGAATATTTGGTTAATGATTAGGCTAATTTTTTTTTTTAAATCCACTGTTTATAAAAGAAACAAATCAAGCTAGAAACATTATAAGTGAGATGGTTTAGAATAATAACAATGGACCCAGTCTACAATTGATACAATTGCAGGTCTACATAGGGCCTACAGTCTAGTAGTTTACAGTAGGCGATTGTAGGAAAAAAAGTCACAGGAAAAAAAAACACAGGAAAAAAAAACACAGAAAAAAAGTCACAGGAAAAAAAGTCACAGGAAAAAAAGTCACAGGAAAAAAAGTCACAAATATATATTTGCATGATACTTGTTAATACTTTTATGTATTAAATATTCAGAGAGTGCAAATTAAATTAGGATTAATTAAATGTAATGTAATGTGCGTAGGCTGTATACGCATAGGAATTTTTATGATTCATCTAAAAATATTTAGTATGAAGTATGTAGATTGTAATTATTTTAAACTTAAGATTAGTAGCGTTTAATAGAATGCTCCAAAGTCCACGGTTTTAATCCTGTTTTTTTTTAAATACCAACATTAAATTACCGTGAAATGGTAAGTTCGTCTGACTTGCTGCCCTCAACTCATGGCCACAATAGTTATGTTTAGATGTTTAGTTCAACCACCTTTACTGCCCACATTTATCACGCTCATTACATAACAACACTAAGGATAAAAAAAGAAAGCCGACAAGGTTCAAATGCTGTCATTGACGCATGACGTCAACAACACAAAATATGTTCGGACAATGCCTACTGAGGAGAGGCCGACCAGAGAATAGCCTACGGCAAAATTTGCTTAAATTTTTTTTATAGTTAAATTTTCTACCGCGTTTTTAACTAAATACGTAACAAAAGTTGAGATTGTTGTGTAAATTATATTAGAGTATTTTTACTTACAATTGTTATAAACCATAATGCTTTTAACGTCTATAAATAATTTATGCTATAAAAAATACAACCCACAACAAGAAACATACAAAATTTTACAATTCTAAACAAATAAAAAAAATATTTCTAAAAATATTTTTGTGACTTTTTTTCTGTGACTTTATTTCTGTGACTTTTTTTCCAAAAATTTTTTTCCACTGTGACTTTTTTTCTGTGACTTTTTTTCCTAGCAAAAACTGTGACTTTTTTTCTGTGTTTTTTTTTCCTGTGACTTTTTTTCCGTTTACCCAGTAGGCACCTAGTGTGTAGCTAGTATACTAGTGTGTAGCTGTCCAGAGTTAAGATTCTTAATGCCTTAATGCTTTCCCCTGATAAGCCGTGTGTGCTATAAATGACATAACATGACACCGAGGTGAGAAGTGTTGAGGGGAGAGCAGTGGGACTTTCCCCTTTGTTCTCCCTGCTGGGCCCTGAGGGTCAAAATTATATAAGAAATACTATCTCTGTGGGGCTGGGTATCACGGAGGTGAGACATTTTCAGGGGAGGGCAGGGCAGACTCCTCTTTGGTTTTATTGTGGGCTAGATACAGGTGGGGGCAGCCATCATGAGGGTTGAACGTCAGTATTAATGTGTCTGATTACTTCCCTGCTGGATTATAAGGGTCTTAAATTGTATAACATGCTACCCAGATTGGTTATTACCCATTGATTATATTAGCCGTTGTAGTGTGGGTTTTGTAGGAGTTAAGTGGTCTCACGTTTGCTACAGTAGATAACCTATAATATATTACTGCATTTGATCAGCTTCGTCTACTTAAACTCTAAACGCAAACGGTATTACTAACAGTATTTTTATTTAGAAATTTCGGCCACATATTTATATTATCCACGAAACTGTCAATAACTGTATAAGGATCTTCAATTCCTAAGAGTTCAAGTTTTTTAACGTATTTTTCCTTTTCCGCGGGCGCGATTCTTTACATACGGTGAACACGTCCAGCGCTGGTGAACAGCTGATTGTGTTTACGTCTGATGTACACCACTGTGGCGGCGGGCGTAGGTATCACGTGATTTAGGTCACGTGTTTGCAAGGACTCTATTGGTAAATGTTTCAAGTCGCTAAGTGGTCTGGTTGCCGAGATATGGGCCAAAAACGGCATTTTTTCGAGGTTTTTTTTGGCTTTTCCGGGAAATCCAGGAAGGAATTCCGGGAATTTTTTTGGCCCACAATCATCCTCGGAACTTGCTTAACATATTTGCTTTTGGAACTAGTCCTCGATATTGCTTCGTTGAGGAGGAGATACGACTTAAAGCTGCGGACACACATCCATCCATCCAGAAATAACGAATTAATAATCGCAATTGTCAGTATGGAAATTGCGCTAAAAATTATTTTGCATACAGTTTTGTTTACAGCATTTGTTTTAATTATATTTTTTGGATAGTGTCGAATAAGCCGAGGAGACTAAAATCTTGCATTTTTTATAAAACAGGAAATACAATGATGTTGTCATTCACGGCCGCCATTGTTGCTGGAGCATTTACGTCATACGGCCTTGACCTGCTGGTGGGTCCCCATCCTGACTTGGAGATATGCCACAAGAATGCTTCGCTATACCGTACAGGGGATGTCCACAATTCTTCTTTTGTGCACACATAAATGTTGTTTTCACCATCGGAGATCATGTGCGTCTTAGCTATCCTACACCTTGATTAACGAACAGCTAAGTGTAGGCCCACTGCCTAACATAGAACTCCAGGCATCTCTCCGAAGGGGGGACGAAACAGAAAAAATGTATAATTTGTATAGAAGAGATATGCTTTATTTAACCAGTCCGCCCCAGTCCCGCCCCCCCCCCCCCCCAGAAAAAAAGTGTGTAAGAAACTCTGTAAGTATGAGCTTACGATTCATTGTTACATGCTCATGTAGGAACTGCCTCTCCTTGAGGAGTTTGCTTTTTTTCTTTAAAGCTTGACTCCATAGGTAGGGAGAGTCAGTCAGTAAAGCTCTGATTCGATATAGAACTACCTCTATACAGGACAAGTAGGACACACGAAAACCACAAAGGGCAGTAAACATCGACGAATGATAAAGTGTAACACACGGTGAGCCTCTGAAGATGGCGGAGGGCAAACGACACTTGTGGAGTGTTTTCTTTCATGCATCTATCTTGCGCCACCACCTCCCCCCACCACCCCCGAAACAGATTTTTTTTTTAAAATTATAAAACATACTTTAACTCTGTGCCCCCCCCCCCGAAAGAACCCCTATACAGACGCCCACAATCTATCAGTATCTGACTACGAGACATAATTAAATAAGAAGAAATTTAAGAGGGGTGGTGGGAAGTGGAGCAAAATAGGCAAAAAACAAGCTTTTTAAAAAAAACAAACAAAAAAAAACGTGTTTTTATAAAGCTTCATCTATCACACAATAGGCAACTGACAAACTTATCAATTTGATATAGCAAACACACTTTTTGTCAAATGTTGTAGGATATGTCGTAATGCCTGTCCAAATTATTGGGGACAACATTATCAAGACAAACTGTTTGAGCGGCCAATTAAAGGGGGACAATTCTACATTATCGTTCAAAAGACAAGCGCGATTGGAAATAAAACGCATTTAAACATTTTCATGTGCTTAAACAATAAGAATATGGTGGTTTATTTCACGGCTCGTATGTTGTTTCTTGATATGATGTCCACTGGTGGGGTGCAGGTTACACCATGGGACACAAACAGTTACACCAACAATGGTCAGAAAATGTAGCTTATAAATACATTTGATGATAAACTTACTTCCCATGTTAACAAAGGTTATTTAAGTAATTTTATTACACCATAAACAATTTAAAAAAAAACAAACTCAACTCAGATTTTTTATAATAAAAAGCTCTATTGATAAAATTCTTATTAAAAAAAACACACTCTTTCAAAAATTAAAATAAAAACTAATAAATTCACGTGATTCTAATGTGGCCTTTGATCAGTTGAAAGTTCATAAAAAACAATAATCAAACATGTATTGATTAGTTTTCAGAGAGTTTGAGTAAGATTTTTTTTAAAAAGAGAAATAAGTTGGTTTGATTTCACCTAGAGAGGTTAAAAAGAAGAATTTCTAAAATATATAAATAAATAATTATCACATATTCAAATGTAAAATAAAACTGGCTGGATCACAGATAATTTGGACTGTAAACAGAACATGTACCCAGATATAAATTTATATATATTGTAATTTTATTTGTTTGTCTTTTTGTAAATGTTATTGTATTTGCTCATATGTTTGTTACGACATTTATTTATTTATATAAAAAAAAAACATATATCTGGAATACAAGGGTATGTGTTTAAAAAAATACTGAATGTTGCATAAAACCATTACATAAATAACAAGTTAAGACAGCTCAATCAGGTACTCCTGAATAATTGAAACGTTTCTTTAAATAAAAATTTAAAGTAATTTTTTAAGTAAATTATTATTTCTGAAAATGTTACATATTTTTGGGGCACTATTTTTTTATTTAAATTTGAGCATAAAATAGTGAGACATTTATATTTAAAGTAACAAAGGTTTAAATTTTGAAAACAATCCCAAAATCAAAGATCAATAATTTTTCATTCCACCAAAACTGGTTTCATAAGAAAAAACACTGACCTGACACAACACATTTTAAAACTGGAATGTTCCATAAAAAATCACAAATTGTGTTGGCACTCAAATCTGTAAAAACATTTTTATAAAATTAAGTAAATAAAAACAATTATATTTTTGTTTGAATAATACAAAAATAAACTATTAGGAGACATGAAAATGTAATCTATTGGAATGTTAAAAAGAAAGAAATATTAATATAGCTGACCTTAAAATTATATTATATATAAAAAATTATTATATATAATAATAATATGATCAGCAGTCAAGTATTTTAAACATGTTGGTATAAACAGCTTTTTAGTAGGAAAGACATGAATTAGATTCACAGTTTTTACAATAACAATTCTATATTCATTAACAAAACAATACCTTAAACCTTTGTTAAAAGAAACATTTCAACTTAAGGGTGTCTTTCAATAAAAATGTACAATTTCCAAACATTTAGTAATTAATTTTGTAGCTTCATTATTATTCAATATTCAAATGTTTATAAACAACTATGCATTTCTTTTTGGATGCTTAAAAAAGAGGTTGTTTTTGGTTAATGGATATTACTTATTTTAACATATTTCACATTTGAAAACCAGCTTCGAAAATTGTGTAACAGAGGGTTATTTTCCCTATTAGTAGTTTTAGACTAATATTTCAAGAGTTTACTAAAATCAAGAAAGGTAATTAAGATCAAGAAGTTAAAATATAAGGTTCAAGCTTTTCTTTTAAAACAAATTCTGTTTATCATCAGCTTTTCCTGGCTGTAGACTTGTGCTGGCAGCTCCTACAGCAAAATAAGAGTTGCGGGAAGTTGGTCGGTCATTGTCTTCATAGTGTCCTTCCCTGCTCGCAACTCTGGAATATTAGAATAATTCACTGTTACTACATTTTTATTCATAATTTTATTAACATATTGATAATTTCTTAGTCAAAATTAAACAAAACACGATTTTTTTTCAATTTCATTAAAATAAGCATGTTTTGTTTTCTTGCTTCATGTCTTTTGCAGCAAACAAAATAAACATTGAAAATTATTCTAGAACTTTGCATTACCTTCTTTGGGCTGTATATTTCTTCTTATACCATATGGCAATCACAATGCAAACAATCAAAGCAACAAACAGTGGAAGACCCACGGACAATCCAACAATCAGCGGGATATCATCTAAGTAAGAAATAGAATTGATGTCAGGTACTTCATAAAATATATGTGCAGGTATTTGAGAAGGCAATTTTTTAAAAGTAAAATTGCATTTAACTATTTCAATAAACTAGCTAGAATTAATTAGCACTAAACTAACTAATGTATTTTAGTATATTTAAATCTTAGAAGTCATGCTCCTCTTAAGTTATTAATGGGCCTTATCTCATTTTGTATTCAGTCAAACCTTAACTAGAGTAATTAAATTATACACTTTTAATATATTGTTTTTATTCAGGAGAGATTTTTTTATAACAATGCAAGTTTGCTCATGCACAGTTTTATTAAATAAATAATCTCAAGACATGTTTTAAAAGTAATTTTATTAAAAAAAATTCTTATATGATTAACCCGGTAAGTTAGGTAACTCCAGGGGAATTTGTGTTTTCATTACTATTTTACATTGTATTACCAGAAATAGCAATTTGAGAGAAGTTAAAAAACACAGACAAGAATTAATTGTAAGTAATTTTAATGTCAAAAAGACAAAGCTGTAGATATAATTCTAAAATTTGTGGAATGTCTTTAGAAAGTTTTGTAAATTCTAACAATTAGATTTAAAAAAAAAACATCAATCATAATTTTTCAAATAATACATTTTTTAACAAGCATTTTTAATTTTTTACTGTATGCAAAGTTTGCAGTAAAAAATAATGTTTCTAACAAACATGTAAAATCAATGTAAGTTGTCTCCTTTCTTTCCCTTGTGTTGTCTGTTCCACTTCAATACTAAAACAAAAAGATACATCAATAAATCAGGTTTTGAAGTGCCTACTTTTTGCCACATATATATGCTAACAGTATAAGGCTATGTAATAAGGCTATGTAATAAGGCTATGTAATAAGATTTAACTTAAGTTGGGACAATTTATGGGAGTAGGGGTTTGGAGCAAAATATGATAACACAAAAATATATATTAAAACAAATATTAGGTAATTAAAGTTTAACTTACTAGTGACTGTATAGATCCAGGGAAATGCCAAACTTTTAACAAAATCTTTTGCACAAGTCAATTGACTTGTACAAGTCTTTAAAGACATCGGTAAAAACGAATATTGTTTTTTAATAAGAAAAACGAAGGTGATGTGTTTATAAGTTTTATGTATCAATCTAAAAGATAAAACAACGTAGGTAGAATAGATTTAGAGTAAAACAAATGATGTGTCCGTGACGTGGTAAATAGTTTTAGCTAATAAAAGATTTCCATTCCTGACAATTTTGTTTTTTGAACAAGATTGTTTTATATACTCTAATTTGGTATTTTAAGAAAAATTTAAATCACAACCTCATAAGTCATTATCTCCAAACTAGCACATTTCAAAATAAAAGTTATAGGTGCACATTTTGTAATAAATGTTTGAAGAGTTAGTTTATTGTTTGGGAGGCGTATCCATTTATTGTTTGGCTTATTGATGGGGTTGTCTTACCTGTACTTTCACTGCCTCTGAAAAAAACAGAATTTTACAAATGTTAATACTTTGTTAACTTTGGATTATTAAGCAAGCTGTCTTTTAAAATGGCTGCAATACTTTATATTTTCTTAAAATTTAACTATAAGTGAGTTAATTGTTCAGTTAAATATTGACCTAGGATAAAACAGGACTGAAATAAACAAGTACCCTTGCAAAAGAAATTATTCTGTAACTTACTGGCACTTAGCTGACCCTTCAGAAGTGATGATACATTTTTCACCATTTGCACATGGCTCAATTTAATTTAAAATGGCACATTTATCATTGACTGTGCTTGAATTGACTAAAAGAAACATTTTTTAAATTAACAAAACAATTTTAAAAATAAAACCATACTCTTAAAGTAAAGGGTAAATATCTGACACACAGTGTTAAAATAAACATAGGCTAATTAGCTGTAAAAAGTATAAAAGAGGTAGTCTTAACTTATGATTAACATTAAGCATAGGCAGTAGGATCAGAAATGGGGGGAGGGGGTGTGAACCAGGTGACACCACTTTAAAAATTATTATTTTAAAAAAATGCAAAATATATGTAAATAAAATAATGCTGCTAGTTCCAGATTAATTAATAACCAATTACAGTTAAATATCATTGCCAGTTACTGCTATTGTTATTTATTCTTTTTTTTAAAAGGTAATCTCTTAGTGTACTTCTTAAAATATTTAGCACAATATGTTTTTTGTGAACCATATCTGCTGACATGAACACCAATAATTTGTGCATTTATCAAGTTAAATTTTTAAAAATGTTTCACTATCTGCTTATACTTCAAATATTCTCAAAAGATTATTCCCTATTAGTTTTGCTTTTTCTGACAAATGATACATCCATTTTTGTTGTTAGGGGGGAATGTCACTCTAAGTTACCTAGGTGACACCAACCTAGTCATGCCCCTGGCATTGAGTTAGAGCTTGGGTTAGATTAGATTAGGTTATATAGTTAGCAATTTGATTTATTCTATTTCTATGCTGAGGGCAGACACCAGCCAAGTGGGAAACAGACAGCTGACTGAGACTGGACTAACCTGTAAAACCATTGAAGGTCACTACAGTGGTGTAAGTTTGATTGTCTATTGTAATTCCAGTTTTGACAACCTGAACAATGGCTTCCACCATTGCTGATGCTGCATCAGGGTTAACTACTTTATTTACAATGGTGGTAAAATCAGCAACCAGACTGCCTTTTCTGTGAACAAAAAAAACAAAAAAATTTACATCATGCCTGCATCTTTTACATTATTAATTTTCCATTGTTGCTTTAAAGTATTTACTTATAAAATGGTTTGATAATTTCCATTTTACTACATTTTGAACAGTCTAAATTTTCTTTCATTTGTATGTATGTATGTATATATGTATAGAAATGCATATACATCAACATACCTCATAGCTTTAACAATTACACCTATCAGGCCACGAATTGTAGATTTGAATGCTTCAAACAGCTGCAAACATTTTAAGAGGAATCATATTTTATTCAAATCTGTACTAAGCAAAGCAAATTTTGTGCTATACAAATATAAGAATGTTAAACAAAAAACTACACAGCTGGCAATAATGCTGAAATTTCAATTACAGGAACATGAAAGTTTTGGAATAACATGTAAAATAAGAATTTAAATACTAATGAAGAAAATCAAACTTTACAATATAATAATTGTTTTAACATTAAACATTTTCAGTTTTAATACTTGATCTCAGTCAGATAAGATGCAGGTATATTAGTTAGCTCTTAAAGATACTTCAACACATTGCCATCGTATCCAGCATTTAAACAGATAGCCATAAAACATGGCAACCAGTTTTTGTCAGGGTTCTATGATAGCTAGTGAACAATGTGGTTGAATGGTAGTGATATACTGCTAACCCAAAAGTCTTGAGGTCAGATTCCTGGCTTGAGTCTGTACGATGTCCCCCAGTCCACCCAACTCTGATGGGTACCTGACTCAAGGTAGGGAAAGTAAAGGCAACTGGGCATAGTGCTGACCACACTATTCCTTCATATGCCGAAGTCACTGAAACAGGTTAACTCTACTTGCCCCATGGATCATAACATTCGAAAAAGTACTCTTTCTACCAGTTTTTGAAGACAGTTACCATTGTCAAAGTGCAACTTACAGATTTTTCAACTAACTGTTTTAGTTCTTTGTATTCTGGACGAGCTTCATCAAGCACTTGTGCATCAGTCACATCATATTCAAGTTTTATTGTAGCATCATACTCTCCAGACTCTGTAAAGTTTGAGTGAAATTAACTATTGCCCTACAGGTCATCAGCACACTTAGGGAATATAGGCCTACAGATATGCAGCATACTTAGGGAAACTATCAGACTATAGATCTGCAACATACTTAGGGAAACTATCAGCCTATAGATCTGCAGAAAAAATAACTTTAGATATATAAAGTGACTGATATTTTTGCTAAACTTTTTATTAAAAAAAGGTGTATCAGTTTGTTAATAGTGTTATTAAATTAATTGTCCCATGGCTCTAACAACCCACTGTTTTAAATAAATTCTTACTTTATTTTAATTTTGCTTTTTATTTAGGCTTGCATAATTGAACCAGGGGTTGGAACTCAGGACTTTTGGGTTAAGTAACCATTAGCGTTACCAGCCTGACCACGTCTGCCCCATGAAACTTACATGAACTTACAAATTATTTGTACTTGAAAAGTCTTATAGTCAAATACATAAAGATCATTATTTATGCAGGTTACCAACTGCCTTGCTAAGGATTTAAAATAAAACAAATCAAATGTAAGTAGAACAGTAAAGAAAGTCTAAAGAAAAATTAAGGTGGCTCCATGTATTAAAAAAAACTATACCTACCAAACACGATTGATTATTAAATATGTGAGCTATTTCAGTATAATAAAAAGCAAAAATTTACCATAACACGTTTTGTTATCTGTATCCAGATAAAAACCATCTTTGCATGAACACGAGTAACTTCCAAGGCTGTTTTCACAAACTTGTTGACAAGGGCTTGAAACACACTCATCAACATCTACATCCACAAATCATGAATTAGCTTGTAATTTATTTCTAATATCTATATAATATAAATCTAAATGTGAGTTGACATAGATATTATTTTAGCTAACATTAGATACAAGTAAAGCCATTTTAAGTTCATGATAAGAAACCAGCATGATGTAGAGGTTGCTGGCAAACATTTTTACACCAGATGGTCCACAGGTCAGATGAACTTTCTCTGAGCTCTGCTAATTAAGGAATAGTATGGTCAACCATGCCCAGCCACCATTACACTCCCTAGCTTGAGTCAGGTACCCATTAGAGGTGGGAGAACTAGTCCTACAGACTAGAACTCCTGAATAGAACTCTAGACCTTTAGGTGAGTATTGAGATCTCTACAGTTTGACCATGCCTTCCATTAAAATAACTGAGATACAATAAAAAACTGAATTTAGAAATAAAGTGTGACCTGACCTTTACAAGAATGCTTGTCAGCATCTAGAGTGTAGCCAGAGCCACAGGTGCAGGTGTAGCTGCCATCTGTGTTGGTGCAGTTTTGGTCACATTCATTGGTGGAGCTTGCTGCACACTCATCTTGATCTGAAATAAATAGTTTTATTAAATCTGTATTGAATGATTTGCATCATGCAAGTTCTTAATTTAGATTTCAAATATATACAGGGTTATGATTATCTCAACTAACCTAAAACTTATTAATGCACAAAAAGGGCAGATTGCTACATTTTAGTCTCTTTATAAGCTGAACCATAGCTGTAAATGAAACAAATATCTTTCTCTTCAAATGTGTAAGCTATACACTCACTTTAAAAAAAAATTCATAAATAACCAACGTACCAACACAGGTGCCATTTTTGCTCTCAAATCCTTTGTCACAATCACACTTGTAGGATCCTGGTGTGTTAAAACACAGCTGTTGGGAAGTATTATTTTGTTTTTATCTTCAATATGTTTATTTACTGATGGTTGAGAATGCATTAATTTCTATATTAGTTTTACAGCATTGCCTTATTGAAAAATATTGCAAGTGATATAGATATAATCTTGCTATATAATAGAGAATTTTTGTTAATATTAAAATCTAGTAATACAAAACCATAACATGCAGTCAATCAATCTATAACTTCTATTACCCAGTGGGATATATTAGCTGCAGTGCAGTTATTTGGAATAGTGCACTCATCAGCATCTGTGTCACAGTGTGTCCCATTCCAGCCTGACTCACAGGTACAGTTTCCTGTGGCCTTGTCACATGTGCTGTGTGAAGGGTCACACAGGCACTGGTTCAAACACTCTTTGCCATAGGTTCCAGTTACACATGCTGTAGCAGTAATAATTATCAGTTCTTTCATTATTTCTTAGTTTCAAATTCATACAATTAATGAGAAAAAAGTTGTAACTTAAGTTGATATGTTGTTGTTTTATAGGTAATATTTATGAGAAGGTTATGTGCCCTGAAGCAAAATATTTGTTAGATTTGTGGATCACATGTTAAATTATTTATTTCTGAACATGATTGTTTTTCTTTAGCTCAGTATGTGCTGATGGCCAAAAAGATGACATACCCAACTGAGAAAAGACAAGATGTGTCATTCAGGTTTAGACAATAAAATGTTTGATTACCTGTACAGCTGCCATTAACATTGTAGTAGCCAGCTTTACATTGACAGATATAACTACCAGGTGTGTTTATGCAATCTGAATTTGGTTTAGATGAACAACCAGATTGCTGACATTCATCTTTGTCAGTAGCACAATTATCTGAAGTCCATCCTGCCTTACAAGTGCATGAGCCATTTACCTGGTGGATCAATAGTTAGTTGTAATTTTTTTTTTAAACAAACTTCAAATACTAATTGGTTTTAACTAACATACGCCTTTTACAATGTAATTTTCTTGTGTCATTTTGAGTGAGTGTGGGTCCAACTTGGTTCAAAGCTATCCATACCTTGTTACATGTTTCTGTGTTGGATGCGATGCAGTTACATTTACTTTCACAATTGTTTCCATATGTCCCAGGGAGACAATCTAATGGAAATTTTAAAAATAATAGAATGTATATATAAGCTTTGTAAATAATTTTTCATGCTTGTTAGGAAATAAGACAGGTAGATAACAATCACCTTCACAATTTAGTCCATCTTTTGCCAATTTTTTTCCAGCATTACAAGAACAAGTATAACTTGTTCCATCAGCAGTTTCAGTACATGTTTCATTACAGCGGTTATTAACACACATATTCACATCTGTTTAAGAAAAAATTATATAAGATAAAGATTTTTTTAAAAAGTTGTTAAAAATATGAAAAATGTCTCTACAAATGATATTAAAAAATGGACCCATGCAATGCTCTATAAAGATAGGCTGTAGTTATATTATTGTTATCAATGTTGTTTGATATTACAATACAGACCTATCAACTTAAAAGGCATTTTAAAAAAAAATAAACTGTTGATGAAAAGTATTACCTATACAAGCTGAGGTATTTTTTAAATCTACTTCTTTTCCTCGTTGGCAAAAGCAAATTTCAATGCTAGAAGTATTTTTGTAGCAGTCATATTGACACTTTAAGGTAGTACATGTAGAAGCCACTGAAATTTATAAACAATGAGTAATGCATTTAATTTTTACAGGGATGAAGCTATTGTATCTAAAGGCTTAAGTATGCCTATTGTTAAGCTAAAGCTACACAAATTTAGAAATTACAAAAATTTAGATACATGCTATATCACTATGTAGAACAAATTTTAATGTAAGTTATATGTGTGCTGTATATATGTAAATAGTAGCAGTAGAACTAAACAGTGTTGGATTCTTTTATTTTAAATATTTCATTAAAATAAAACACAAGGGCAATACACTGAATGAATAAAATACTACACTATTTTAAAATCTTTAGTAGATAATCACTTTGTAAGTCATACAATATCAACTCTTATAGTCACCCTATTAGTAATACCATTTTATCAACTCATTTAGTCATCATAGTTGTTGATGGAAAATTGCTGATTTCTTTAGCTTTCTCTATTTAATTCAAGGATTTGCTGAATGCAAGCTTTTATTGTAAATCTAGGTCATTAAATTGGCCAATATTAGCTACGAGAAAAATGGCCCATTGAGGAAGGATACAACGGGCGCTAGGTTGATAGTGCTGTCTATTTTCTCGGTACTTTAATTTATACAAAATATAGTCATAGGCATATCCCTAAACCATGCACCTAATCTCATTCATGACAATAGTCGCATTTAGAGTTTCTTTCAGGCAACTCTACTTGGGAGGAGGGGGCTTCGCCCCCCCCCTCCCCCCATACACACTCCAAAACATGTCTACCGTCCCATTCAACGAAATATAATTATATACTTTTTCCAGTGTCCGCCCCCTCCCAGAAAATTCTACCCCCGCCCCTACCGGAAGAGATGCTTGAAAAAAAAAACTGCACGCTAAACACTTTTTAGATTAGAAAAAGTTCCCCCCTCCGGGGAGGAAAAAGTCTGAAAGAAACACTGGTGTCGCGCTTAGCCACTACCCGAAGAATTGCATTAAAGAAATTGCAAGAAAACCACTTTTTAGATTAGACAAATTAACTAGGCGGCAATTTTATTATAGAGTATCGATGAAGAAATTTCTTTTGAGTTGGGGAGGGGGGGGGGGGGGGGGGGGGCTCAGACGTTCTTAAGCGGGGATGGGGCTTCGCCCCTACCCGAAGAATTGTATGAAAGAAACTCTTCACACAAACCACTTAGATTAGACAAAATTTCCTTTTTATTCAATGTTTACTCGAGAATCAATGATGTCATATCACTGTGTGCATTCTCCGGCTTGATATTATTTTCTACTCTATGCTCAATACGACGTTATACTTCGTTTTTCGAATTACTATGCATGTTTTTAATTTGCTTGTGTTTTCTCTAGAGCGTTCTTGTCAGACAGATAGATAGATACACAGACAGCGAAACTATTAGTATTAATTTTTACTTCTTGTAATTTACCTGTTTGGTTGATTTTATTTTTATTATCTTTCATCAATAAATAAAAAATGACTTAAAACTAATATTAGTGTGCAGGGCATTCAATTCTGATTAACACATAAGCCTAATTTTATATTAGTAATGTGAGTGTTTTAAATAAACCGGGAGTGATCTCCCCTAAACTTTCTCGAATATTCTAATATAACACTACGGGGGATAGCAACTCGGGATATAGACTTCTAGACATGATTTTTAATCCATTTTAAATACTCAAACTTTTTAAAATAGAATATAATCTCATAGAAAAAGAATTGCACACCAAGTGAACGCTAAATAAAGATGTGCATAATAAAGCGCAATATTATTAGTACTTTATAAATTTACATGCGTTTTTTGAGAAATCGGAAATAGCGTAAATAAGTACTTCCGGTCAATGGAAATTACTCAAAATTTGACAGAAGGTAGAGAATTAGATCTTTTATTTACATATCAAATTTCATTTATCTATCTGAAATAGTACTCAAGTTATAGGCTTTTGAAAAATTCAAAGTAGAAAAAGTACCACTTCCGGTTATCGGAAATCGCTCAAAAGTTGATACGGATCTACGATTTTGATAAAATACTTATATGTAAAATTTCATCAACCTAGCTGTAACAGTACTCAAGTTATCGTGTTTACACACGGACACACAGACAGACAGACAGACAGACACACAGACATACGGACAAGATTGCAAAATTATGTTTTTCCGTATCAGTGAGGTGTAAAGCGTCGAGATTTGCAAAAATCTCGATTTTTTTTTCACGATTACAAGACTTTCTCTATACTTTGTATATACGAGAAAGTAATAAAAAGGTACAACAACTGAGTTGAAAAAAATCTGTTCTTGTATTCATAATAAAAGTTTATTAAATAGGGTAACTATTAAATTTGGAGGTAGACTATAATGTTTTAAAAATCTACACCTACCAATGCAGCTGACTCCATCAACAGCAAGGGCAAGTCCAGTTGGACAAGCACAGCGAAATCCACCATCTGAGTTCTCACATCCTTCCTGGCAGCCATCAATATTTAGCTGACATTCATCAATATCTGAGGACATTGGTTGGATCACATGGTGAATAGAAAAATATAAGATAAAATGTCACATGCAGAAGTTTTTTAATGGACTGGGGTGGGGGTATATTAATAACTGTATAGTAAACATTTACTTTACTATAGTTTAAAGAAGTTTTTTTTACAATAATGCTGTTGAGTCATCAAAACATTTTCTGACTGTGGCCAAAAAAAAGGCAACCCTGGTTAATGCTTAGAACAACCAATTGGTCTTTGAATCAATCTTCATAAATTGTTGAATCATAATAGATAATTATGGTTAAAATAATTTTTATACAGAGCTATATATAGAGCTTTAAAAAAGAATACTTGATAATAGTAAGTAAAGTATTTTTTATTAAACTTAGTAAATGACCTACCTTTGCATGACTTAGCTGCTTTGTCATATGAGTAACCTTTATTGCAGGAGCAGGAATATCCACCTTCATAATTGTCACACAGCTGATCACAATCATTAGTGGCAATATTGGCACATTCATTAATATCTGAGGATAAATATTCATGCAAAAATTGAAGACGTTTTTACTCTCTTGTTTACTAAGTATATAGGAACATTTTAAAACTCAGTGAGTCAGAAAAACTTGGTCTTTGCAATTTTGTCTTTATGTCTGTCTGTGAATACTTCAGTACCTTTTCAGTTATGTAGACGAAATTTCACATATAAGTATTATATCAAATTTGTAGTTTTGTACAAGATTTGTATGATTTCCGGTAAAAGGAAGCGGTACTTAGTCTACTTCTTCCAGTTTCTCAAAAGCTAATAACTTGAGTACTATTTAAGTCAGATGAACAAAATTTCACATTTAAGTATTACATTGCGTGCAAATGTTTCTATCAAATTTTGAGCTATTTCAGGCAACTGTAAATGGTACTTAATTTTGGCATGAACACTATAACTTGACTACTGTTTCAGTTATGTAGAAGAAATTTCATAAATAAGTATAAGCTCTTACACTTAGATTATTTACAATTTTTGATTGACGGAAGTGGAAAATCACTCTACTTCTGGTGTCTAAAATACCTATAACTTGAATACCGTTTCAATTAGGTAAACGAAATTATATACTTAAGTATAAGATCTTATTTTCTTGAATCTGTAAAATTTTGGGTTATTTCTTGTGAACCAGAGTAATATTTTACGTTATTAAGATCACTTCTATGAGGCCTGTTTCTTCTAAACTTTTCATGTAGGTCTAGACTCATGACAACACATTGTGACATGAATTTTGGCTGAATAAGAAGTTAAATTAACTTTTTAAAAATAAGTTTCTGTTTTCGTTATAAAGCACTAATTTTCCACTCCATTTTCCACAGATTGTTTACGTTCATTTGGTGCACAATTCTTTTTTCTATGCAATACTATTCTATTAAATTTTTTTTAATATATTAGAAAGCTTTTATTTGTTTACTGAGCCCCATATATTAAGACAATAATAATTGGGTCTTTGTCGTCAATCAGTTGCTATTTTGCCTAAACACTTTACCTTCACATCCACTTGTCAGTCGCTGGTATCCATCTAAACAGACACATGCTGCACTGCCAATTGTATTATTACATTTTTCTTTAGCTGGGCAAGTGAGCTGTCCTGTTGCACACTCATCAACATCCTTCTCACAGAGAGTTCCTAATTTAATAAAATTTTAAATGAATAAATCATGGTTGCTCTGTGTGAGCTATCAAAGATAAAATCTGCATTAGCTAACCACAAATAGAATCATGTAAGTACATGTATGATATGTTACTGTATATAGTTTATGATCCTCTTCTAAAAGAACAAATTGCTTGAAGGTAAAATGTGTTAACCTGTGAAGCCAGACTTGCAAATACAGCCCCGTTTAGGGTCACAGCTTGAAGCACCAGAGCTACAGGAGCAATCATTAGCACACTCAAGGCCCCATTTTCCTGAGCCACATGCTAGACAGATGGTAACATATTACATGATATTTTATTTTTTAATTTCAATACTATTTTATTTAAAAAATTGAAAAGTAACAGTAAGTTAACTTTTTTACAAAATTACTGTATATGATAGGCATTGCAGCTGGATTCCTTTAAAAAATAAAAGACCTGTCAGACTAACTATGACCTTTGTTCACTTTACACTTAATTTATAATGCTGTCACAGCACAGTAAACTAACAATGCTTTCCTACACATGAAATATGTCCACACAAACATTTCCCTCTGTTTTGTTATTGTTTGCTCTATTATTTCATAGTTCCTATAATTCATCTAAGAGTAAGTTGTACTCAAATATTTACTTTAAAATAAATGTCTTGATGTGTTTAAAATGCTGAAGCACTTACAAATACATGTTCTCTTGTCATTATCCAACATAGACCCTGAGGGACATGAGCAGTTGAAGCTACCATTTGTGTTGATGCAGCCTGCCTGGTAACTGCAGAGATTCAAGTGACTGAGCTTGCACTCGTTTATGTCTGAAAAATTGGTATTCAAAATTTTATAGAATTTGGTTATTTAAAAAGTATTACAAATATACAATTGTATATATATATGCGGTTTTTATTTTAATATGAGGTCAGGTTAACAATCAATAAAACTAAGACTGCTTAAGTTTGAAACAATACAATTTTAGTCCAAGATAAAAACTTGTGAGCTGATATGAAATTTTAAGGCCAAAATTGTATTATGAAACAGCTTTCATGACTCGCAACAAGGTTTATTTACATAAATCCTTGAAGGTCACTGTGAGATATTTTGCTGTGTAAACACATTGTAGCATGACTAGTTTAAATGATCTGGCAGGGAGCCACATCAAATAGTCATGACTTTTTAAAAATTTGGCAACAAAGATTTATTTGTAAGTAATGTTTGCCATACATACATAAATCTGCAGCAACTTACCGACACAAGTTTTACCTCCAACCAAGTCAAACCCAGCATTACAGGCACAATATGGGGTGTTTGTCTCCCAGTTCAGGGTACAGATCTGGTCACATGTCATGTTTAATCCAGCACATACGTCTTTTTCTGAAAGATATTAAATTTTATGCAGCTCTGTCTATAGCATTAAAACCACAGAGAAAAATGTCTATTAGCCAAAATCCTTACGCTTTACACAGCTAGCACGGTCAGTGTCCAGTCTGTAACCATAGCGACACTTGCAGTTGTATTGGCCTGGTGCGTTTTCACAAACTTGCTCACAGTTGTGTGTTCCCTTGCTGCACTCATCAATATCTGTACAAGCATAAGTGTTGATTGTAGGAAAAAACTTAACATTATGAAAGTAGCATAATTGTTTTAAAAACTATACTTTCATGCTTTGTTTTGGTTTATATTCCTCTAATGCACCTGGGTTAATATAATTATCAAGATAAATTTATTTGTATTTGGCTTTGTTTTTAAAAAACTGCAAATTATTGTTATAAATAAGCAAATGTTCTTGCCTTCACAAACTTTATTGGCATTGCGAGCATAGCCATCTCTACACATACAGGAGTAACTGCCAATGTTGTTGACACAGTCTTCAACGGATAAACTGCAGTTGTGAGTCAGTACACTCAGACATTCATTGTTGTCTGGGGGAAAAGAAAAATACATTAGCTTGTCTAAAAGAAAAAATACTTTAACAAGCTTAAACAAAAAAATACATTAACCAGTTTAAAGGTAAAAATGTATTAACTAGCTTATTTATTAACACAAAAAAATACTTCAACTAGTTTAAACAAAAAAATACATTAACTAGCTTAAAGAAAATAAAATACATTAACTAACTGAAAGAAAAACATAAACTTAAAGGAAATGTAATTTTAATATTTATAGATGAGTGAATAGTGATTAAAAAAAAAAGAAACAGGACAAAGTTAAATAAAACCAAGCTAACTTGTGAATCACCTTCACATGCATTTTTGTTCATGGTGTAGCCAGGAGGACAAGTACAAGTGTATGAACCCAGAGTGTTGGTACACACTTGTCCAACGGGGCAGACATCAGATAAACATTCGTTCACATCAATGTTACAGTTGGTACCTGACCAGCCAGCCTTACACTGACAGCCCCTGACGTTGTCACACGTGCCCAGACCATTACAGATACACTGACTGGCACAGTTCACGCCATAGTACGGGCTGTCACATTCTGTTGGAACAAAAAAAATGTATTTACTGCAGGCCTAACACAAGATATACTTGCTAATAATAGATTTTGGACAGACAATGTAGAAACAGATTTACACTGTTTACACATCTGTTTCTGAAGAGGATCATCAACATACAAGGAAGTGTAAATGTGGGGTAGATGAAGGCCTTTACATTAGCTCTAGAGTATTTGACTTTAGAGCACTTTGGTTACAGTAATGTTCACACCAGACAATCAATGTGGTAGATGGAGTAGAGTTTCTCTGACCTTTGCATATATGGGTAGCGGGGTCAGCATTATGCATTATTGTCTTTTATTTTTCTAAACTTGTGTCATGTACCCATAGTTGGGTAGCAGGGTCAGCATTATGCGCTGTTGTCTTTTATTTTTCTAAACTTGTGTCATGTACCCATAGTTGGGTAGCAGGGTCAGCATTATGCACTGTTGTATTTTATTTTTCTAAACTTGTGTCATGTACCCATTAGGGCTAAGTTGAATCGGGGATATCATTCAGACTCAAGTCTATATCTCAAAACTTGTGGGTTAATATTAAAGCTCTTTACCATTAGACCAAATAGTACCATAATTAATAACATAAATAATATAGATCTAGTTGTGTTAAGTTATAAAAAAGACAGGAGTTGTACTGACTTTTACAAGAAACACCATCTGTATCCATTTTGAAGCCAGCATAACATGAGCATTTGAAACTACCAACTGTGTTCTGACATGCTTGACTGCATGGTTTGTTCCCCGATGAGCACTCGTCTATGTCTAAAATATTGTGAGCAGAAATGTTATTGCTAACCTCATGTTATGCAATGTCTCTTAATGTTTCAATACAACAAATAAAAAAATGTTAAGCATTAGTTAAACCAAGTTCATAAAATCCGAAAATGTTACCTTCACAACCGCTATTATCAGCCTTCAATTTGTAGCCAGATCTGCACTGACACACTGGTTTGTCATCTATAGTCACACACAAATGGGCACACGGTAGACTACATGTGGCAGCTGTGGACAAAATTATATGATTCTTATCTACAGCATTAGATATTTACGACTAGGAATAAAGAAGGGAAATAGCCATACCATTGGTTTGGTCAAAATACATTTGCATAATGGATTGCAATTTATAACAATAATTAAGAAAAATTAATTACGATTTTAAATTATGTTAGAGGCCTATATATATAAATGCATGATGTACAGATGTCTATGCATACACATAGTTTCATACATGTATTTAAACATTAAAATGGTCTGTTACATACCGGTACCATTTACATCACAAGTTTTGTTGTTTGAATTGAGTTTATATCCTCCATAACATTGACATTCATAAGATCCTTCTGTGTTCTTACATATTTGATCACACTGGTGTGTTCTTTCAGCACACTCATCAACATCTGAGGGAAACATTAAGTATTATGTCTAACAAAGGTGGTAGGTTACTTTTCTTTATTTTTAGGCTATTAAAATGCTGAGTGGCTTGTTCCATGAGAATACTACAGGCAAATATCTATCTAAACGAGGAATCAGCAAACCACTAAATGCCTAGTGTTGATTTTTGTATGTACCCAAAAAGTCACACCCCCTAAGCAGCAACATGGACATAATGTGTTATTTCAATACTCTTGTCTTTTCTGGGACTATATTACATCTTATGTTTACCTTTGGCATTGGAATAACTTTATGTCTACATTGCTATTTCTTAAACAAAGCCTGCTTCCAACCCATCTTCATGTTGACCCCCTAAACACAACTCATTCTCCCTCACACCCAATTCTTTTCTGATAAAGCAATTTACTTCTAAAATATTTACTGAATGGATTACATTAAATTAAACAATTAATTAATTAATAAAATAGGATAGCTACTCTTAATTGCTAGCTAGGTTGATTTTGCCAAAAACATCAGTCATCAGTTTCGTATTGAGAATGTTTATGCAATTTATATAAAATTTAAATCACACTAGCAGTAAAAAATTCTGAAATCCTACTGTTGATCAAACACCTACCATTGCATTGGTTTTTATTAGCTGAGTCAAGCCTGTAGCCCAGGTCACACTGACAACTGTAGGATCCAACAGAGTTGAAGCAGTTAGAATTATCTGGACAGGGGGCAGGACTGCTGCCATTAACAATGCATTCATTGATATCTAAAGAGGAAATAATGTCTTCATTATATAGCATTAACAATATAGAAGAAATATAAAGTTTAAGTTAGGATAAAAAGAAATTTCCCCCAAAATGTTAAAATCAGCATTTAGAATGTCCTACTTACCAGCACAGGTGGAGCCTCTTTGTTGAAAGCCAGCTGGACAATCCTGACATTTGTAACCAATGGTGTTGTTGTTTTGCTCTGCAGCTGATAGGTCAACACAGTCTTGTCCTTTAGCACATGTTGCTGTTAGACAGCCATTGACTTCTCTTTCACAATCATCACCTTTAAATAGTTACAACAATCATCACCTTTAAATAGTCACAACAATCATCACCTTTGAATAGTCACAACAATCATCACCTTTAAATAGTCACAACAATCATCACCTTTAAATAGTTACAACAATCATCACAGAGGTACATCAACATACGAAATGTTTGAGATAAGACCTGTAGAGTGAGCTATAATTTGCTTTGACATACAAGCAAAATTTGAGATACGAGCGGGTTTAACAGTTCGTGGAAAAGAAACACCCCAAAAAAGTTGCAACTGATTGTGCATGGGAGCTATTTGATGACACTTACTGGACTCATTTACAAAACACTCTGAAAGGGTGGAACAACAAACCTTCTTGGATAGGAAAGTAAGGAAAGTGTAACAAAAAAAGCAATGACCAATGTAAAAGCAGTGATGAAAAATTAAACAAAAGTAACAAATAGTATATAGTAGCATTTAGGTTCAATTATATTAGATTGTAGTATTTAGAGTGTGATGATTAAGTGAATTCAAGTAATCCAAAGAGCTTAGCATTAAAAGGGAGTAAGTGAAAAAACTGAAGTTCCTCCACCTTTCTCTCCCCCACACTACTCTGGGCCTACACCTCTACCAGCATCTTCCATAAACTCAAGTCAGCTGATTTTCAAGGTAAAGACATTTATAAAAACAAGTTTATTTCTTTGCATTTACCTCATATTATGTTATTAAATAAATTGTCATGTATAAATAAACTTTTCTTATTAAAAGATATATATTTAAAAAAACGGGGCTGGCATTTTGGGAGTTGGAACTGATTAATGGCGTTTCAATAAAAAAATATTTTTTTTTGAGATATGAGCAATTTGACATACGAGCAATGTAACGGAACTAACTAAGCTCAAATCTCAAGGTACCATTGTTATTACATCCATCACCTTTAAATATTTACATCAAACAACCTTTGAATATTTTTATATATCAATTATCAAAATAAAAAAAGCAGGACTTTATACATTGTCTAATATTTAGTCAATATGGTTGGTAAATTAAAAAATGTGACACTTTTTGTATATTATTTATTGCTATGTATTGACATTAATATAATAATGCAACTTAAACTAGAACTACCTGTGTAAGCAGGCCAACAGTCACAAACACTGACAAGAAATTTCCCCCCTTCAGATTCATTAGCTCTAATTCTGTTCACATTACAAGAGCCATTTCCACTACAGTATGGACACACAACAATGTTCAAGTAAAGGATGGCTGAAAGTCCACCCTTGGAGTCTTTTGCCTGCACCCTATATGATTATAAGCAACAAGAAAGTTTAAAATATAAAGTTACTGAAAGAAAGTTCATTACATCATTAGAAAACACTTTCACTTTGATAGTTTTATTACCATAGTGAGTAATACATTGATTTACTTCCCCTATCTACATACACAATGGGATGGTGTGGTTGAGAGGTAGAGAGCACAGCTACCTGAGTCCATGGGATGTACCTGAGTCTTCTCAGCCCTTATGGGTACCTGACTCAAGTCAGGGAAAGTTAAGGTGGCTGGGCAAAGTGTAATCATTCTATATGTAAGACCAGAGAAAAATAAGAACTCATCTGTTCCATAGACCATCTTGATGGGTACTTAACATTTTTAAAATCTACACAACAGGATCATCCAGGATCATGTCCTTACCCAATAGCAACAGGTTTAGTAGAGTCAGGCAAGTAGGTGACAACACCAGAAACATTGTTGATTGATACACCTTGTGGGGTTCCTATCAGGCTGAATGTTATACTGTCCTTGTCAGCATCTGTAGCATTGAACTGGATATTCATAGATTTGCCATGTGTTACAAGTAACTGGTTGTTGCTGTTCACTTGGTTAGGTCCAAGACTTAGTACAGGCAGATTGTTTGCTGATGACAAAAATTTGTTTTATAATTCAAGTTTTAAACAAGGACAAAGTAACTTAACATGAATTTTTTTTTTCAAAATAAAATAATACACTGACCAAGATTTAACTGAACAGCATCAGCCTGCTGACTTGTACTTTTAGTGGACAGGGCAAAAGCTTCGTTTCCAGTGACCAGCAAGTCAAAGGTGCATGCGTCATTGCCCCCACAAGTTACTTTAGTAGCATTAACAAGTGTTTGATTAACTTCGTCCATGAAGAAAGGTGTAAAGTCAGGAAATTGGTAAGTTATGGCTGATTCTCCTTCTGCATATTTGAATACAGAAGTGGTTGTGCTCACAGTCCCTGTAAAAAATTATGTTAAATAAAGTGTGCGGTATTGTCTTGATAAATGTTCTATGCCATACACAAATTGTGAAAGCATGGTTAATCGATATTTAAGTTTACATAGAAAATAAGTTTAAATATAAAAAGATGTGTGTAGTCCCAGTCGGAAATGCAATAAAAAAATTTTAAACTTTGGACCACAATTATGTAAGCTATTTTGCACCTCTCTGTCATTAGTTGCTAGTTAGTGTGAAGGTACAATATGTGTTGACGTCATTGGTAAAAAAGTATTAAACAAAATGTTGTATGAGTTTCGGTCACTAAAATCTACTACCTGAAATGTGGTTCTAAGGAAAGTTGTGATGTTTACTTTATTTTCTTTACTTTGAATGTGGTAGAAAAATCAACAATATGAATAAACTTAAATATTTAAATATTACTCTAATCACAAAAGTGTAATTAGAAATATGTATAATTCTTAAACCAATATCAAATACCACTTCACATATTTTCAGCTTCATTGTGAATTAGCCACAGGTGAAAACTGACTCAAACCATGACAGAGGGTTACATTTCTGTTTTCATTAAATGATTATTTTCTATATTGTTGTTTTGTTGTTTAAAGCAACTATTAAAACTAACATCTGTTTCCAAAGTTCTCAGAAATTTTTCTCTCAGTGTTAGTTTGCTCTTCAGTCAGGACTGTCCCATCAGGGAGTGTAAAGTCATCTTTAGGGTCTTTATTAAAAACTCCCAGCAGTCCTTTTGTTTTATTTTGGTAACTGTTTGGAACGTTGATAGCAAACTCCAGGTTCTCCATACCCACATAGACTTCAAATGAAAAACCTGTACAATAAAATAGTGTGTACTTTAGTGTGTAGTAGTATTTATAAATACAGATCTCAAGATCCAAAATATGGCTGCCCTGAAGCTTACAAAAAAGCTTCACAATGTCCTACCTGTTGGGAATGCTGCAGTTGCTTTAATTTTATCGCTGCTGTTGCTTCTAGTGACTGTAACACCAGTTTCTGATTGAGTCTGGTAGTCTTCTGTAGCATAGAAGTCTCTTGTGATGTCAGCACCATTAGCTGAGATAATCATGCCTGTATCACAAGCAAAAGTACAGTAGTTAGCATGACATGTATTACACCAACACCTCTGATTTCTTAAACATAATGTGTATTAACAACACCATTTCTTTGTTATATTTGATTTTGTTTGAATATATTAATCTAGCAAAAAGATAACAAATAGACTAAAGTTTATAAAGAATATTTTTTACTATATTTACAGAAATACTATATGTGTACATATACTATTAAAGTTTGCTAGTTTTCAAACTCTTTGGGGAAAAAAAAGAAAAATTAATGATGTTTGTTCCAATCCATCATTTAGATAAAAATATCTGGGTCAACATCAACAATTAGGAAAAAAAGTGTAATCTCCAATTTTTATATTTTTTAACATGTGTGTAATCATATTATTACATAGAATATTTGTGTGTAATCATCAATTATTAGGGAAAAAACCTGTATAAGTGAAATCCAGCTCTACTTGAAAAGTAGCATTGCCATCTTTTGCTGCAAATGCAACAAATACAGTTGCATTGGTGACAACATCTTTACTTGTATTGGCTGGAGCAGTTCTTGCTTGTAGCACAAAATCATCAGTCTTAATAAGAAAATATTCCCCTCGCCCGTTGAAAGTGTACTTTTTACCATCAAGTGTGACAATATGGGGGTCGCCAAGAGCTTGCCCTGTAAAGAAATATTTTACCATCATTTGTGACAATATGTGGATATCTGAGGTGACTTAAAACAATTCTTTATTGCAGGGATCATCTTGTCCCAAGACACATGGGGCAGATGAAGTAGAGTTCACCTATTTCAATGACCTTGGCATACAAAGAGATAATGAGGTCAGCAGTATGCCCAGCCGCCTTTGTTTACCATAATATCAGTTAGATACCCATAAGAGCTGGGTGGACTTAAGGATATTCTACTGATTTAAACTCAGACTCAAACTTTACACTTTCGGGTTTGCAGTTTTTAAATACTCGAGGACTCAATTAAAGGGTCAAATATTTGGGGGGGGGGGTGGAAATCCTTTAAAAGCAGAGAGCAGGGGCACATAATTTCATGCTAATAACAGATTCTGACCTATTACAGAGTAAATCAAAGAGAAAGTGGGACGAATTTTAAAGCTATGACTTACCAGATACATATTCAGCTTTGATTGAACAAATCACATCTGGTCTTACTTCATCAAACAAAGCACAGTATTTGCTTGGTGAGCTAGACTCCACACAGCACCATCTATGTGGATTCATGTCTTGTTCTAATGAGTTTCTTGCACTACTGCCCCAAAGCCAAGGGTCATTCAAAAGTAGGTGGCTGCCATATTCTAATGTGTGATCAACATGGTGGGCATTCTGCAAAGATTCTTGATAGGCTTTCCAGTCCCACCAGGTTGTTGGGGGAGTGTAGAGATAACAGCAGAGCTAAGGACATATTACATTGATTTTATTAAACTGGTGAAGAGCTAAGGACATATTACATTGATTTTATTAAACTGGTGAAGAGCTAAGGACATATTACATTGATTTTATTAAAATGGTGAAGAGCTAAGGACATATTACATTGATTTTATTAAACTGGTAAAGAGCTAAGGTAATGGAAAGCTAACAATTGGGAAATAAAATTATTTTAATGCAGAAAATTTACCTTGTTTAATGGATTACCAGTTAAAAGTCGAGTTTTGGCAGTGGTACCAATGGCAAAGCAATAATAGTAGCTTTTCCCAGGCTCAGCTTCATTCCAAGAATAGTACCACCATTGTCTCCCCAAACGGTCCATGCTACAGGGGCAGTCATATAAAGCATTAATATATTTCTGGTGTTGTGAGTCTAACTTCAATTTGAGGTTGTCTAAGTAAAATTTCTGACACTTGTTGTCTGGATCTTCCACTTGACCAACTTTTTCAATCCATGTGCCATAGCGACCTGAGAACAAAAACTTTTTAATTTAATAAATTCCTCATTAACACTATTTTATGTAAAGGTACATCTCTGGAGTGATGAGGATCACATTACCATAGGTTTACTAATAGTCATTTCCTTATCATTTTAAGTATTTTGTAATTTGAATTTATTTCATACATTTGTATGTTTGCAAGGCAGCTAAGTTTTATAGGATTACCTTTGTTTTAATATGCTTGAGATTAATCATAGTTTTAAAAAATTGAGAATATTGCATAAAAACAGACTAGGGAGTGTTATTTCATTATCAAGACACAACAATCATGCTTTTGATGTGACGCATCATGTCGTGATCTATGAAGTACAATAATCTAATTATGTATGCTCAAAATAGGTCTATATTGTAGGATCAGCTGTTGCTTCTAATAAAGGTATAAATTCTTTTCATTAAGATATGAAAAGTGCTTTGAGTGTGTTATTTGGCCGATAAAATACTGTTTAAACTATACTTTTGAAAGTATAATTTTAAGTGCAAAATTGATGAACTAAATAAATGTAAGCATAATTGTTTTACTTAACAAGAACTGAAGTTATTTTACTTGGATACATTAGCTGTTTTAAATTAGATTGGGAAACATTTAATATGTGTAGTACACAATTTCTAAGACAGAAATTTAAAAAGTTATATGTGACCTGTATTCCATGTTATTTTATCCAGTTTGGTTGTCAGATCAGTGTATGTTACACCATAATCTCGCTTTTGTTGATCATTTTGGAAACCAACATTGATTGCTCTCCCATTTTCAAACAGCCAGTTCATGCTTCCCTTCTTGTACATGGTGATAGCATAAGCAGTTGTACCATCAGTCACATAAATCACTTGAAATGTGTTTGTTTCTTCTACTTGTGCCTGTAGGTTACAGAGAAAAATATCAACATTAAATAAAAAATAAGCAGCTTAGTAAACTGATTTATTGCTATACTAGATAGACAGTTTTATAATTTATTAGCATAATTGTCATGTGTTGCTGCAATTTAGTTCAATACAAAATTTGATAAGGATTTCATTAACACATTATTAATTGTGTATTTTTAGAAATTTAAGCTTATTTTCTAAAATGGATTATACAAATCCAACGCTATATTTTTTTGGACCATAGTTACTGTTGTATGGGTTTGATCAAACTACCACACAGACAACCAAACCGTGCTGTATGAAAGTCTCGAGTTTTATTAATCATCTTCTGTAATAGTGATATAGAACACTTCTCAGCAACTGCCCACATGTCAGGGGCATTAGACACTCTGGGGACTCACTGGTTACACCACAGCAGGGGCATTAGACACTCTGGGGCGTCACTGCTTACACGACAGCAGGGGCATTAGACACTCTGGGGAGTCACTGGTTACACGACAGCAGGGGCATTAGACACTCTGGGGAGTCACTGCTTACACTACAGCAGGGGCACTGGGTAGGGTGCTAAATATAACAGCTGGGGAAATCTGGCTGTCTAACCACCGCATCCAACTGTAGGAGTGCTGCCACTACGTAGTTTAAATTTTTTAAATCTAAAAAACTTTCCCAGAGGTATTTTCAATAACTTCCCAAAGCTTCAAGGCGGTTGGATGAAAGATGCAGTAATGCATAAAAGACAAACCCAAAAACATACTTTCATTATACTTTCTATATATATAGAAACTTTATATATATTTACTTTATATATATATTTCTATATATATAGATAGATTTTCTATTTTGATTAAACAATTGGGATCTTTCTAATAACATCATGATATAATTTTTTAATCTGATTTTTAAAAGGCCAATGAAATATCTTAAAAACCTACCTTATTGCAGTATTGCTTGTAATAGCCATCATAATATTGCCACCATGATTCATTTTTGTATGTCTGATAGTATTCACAGATCCAGCTGTACCAGTTGTATGGTGCAACATTTTCATATGTGGCTATAAGACAGGTCACAGCACTGTATGAGCTCAGTTTATACATTTCCATTACCTTTTCAGATAAAAATAAATAAATCAATAGCTATTTGTAGTTCTTTTTAAAATAAAACAATTTAGGTATAAATAGTATTAGAATAATTACATTTGTAAATTTTCCAGTTAGTCACTTATAATAAATAACTTTTATCTTCATACAGTTGTGTTATGATTTTTCTTTTAAAGTTTGATGTTTAAGATCTAGATCTAGATAACAGCTAATAGGAGATGCCAATAAATACTATTTTCAATAAACTTAAGAAAAAAAAACAAGAAAAAAGTATACACACATTTTAAAATATATTCAAATTTATTTGCATTTTGAAGAGGAAAATCACATCACTATCAATAGAGGTTTTCTCCATTTTTTAACACAATTAGAATAAAAAAACAAATTAGGCCTATATACTATATTCTTGAATTATATAAAATGAAAGGATGAAAAGATAGACTACCTCATAGCTTGATCTGTTTAGCACTTGATTAATTATATCTGCATTACTAGCTCCATTAGATCCTAATTTCTCATAGAGTTGGTAATATACTTTTCCAGTTTGTAAGTAATTTGTATCAAACCAGAATGCTGCTAGAATGGCATGGTTAGCGTAATAGCTGTTGTCAGAACTGTACTGGAAGAAGGGATACCAAGCATAGGAATCTGATCCAAATGTGAGGGCTCCATTTGACCACACCTGAAGAAAAATGTGTAGCAAAGTCAAGTAAAGTATGGATGAAACAGCAGGATAATGGGACAATCTAAAACAAACATATATAAGTATTAACATCTATAGGTAATTATTATTTATATATCTATATACATACATACATACAAACATACATACATACATACATACATACATACATACATACATACATACATACATACATACATACATACATACATACATACATACATACTTATATATATATATATATATATATATATATATATATATATATATATATATATATATATATATATATATATATATGTATATATATGTTTTTACATGTTTTGATTGAAAAAACATTTACTTTGGCTTCCTTGAAATTACGTGATCCAAAAGGAGCACCACTAGCAAAGCGGATTTTTTCACTGTAATATTTATTTGTGTATGAATAGGAGCCATACAGTTCTACGTGTTCTACTGTTTTATCTCCATTTCCAGGTCCATAGGGATATAAAACTGTAATAAAAAAAACAGAGTGTGAAGTTTTTTTTTGGTTTTAGAAACATGATAAAAGTAACTTTTTAAAAATAACTTTTTTTAATCTGTATAGATATTTCTAAAATGTATGAAAAGGGGAGAACTTTTAAGTAAATATATAGGTTATAGGTGTACAGACTATAAAACATTAATTTATTAAAAAATAATTTCATACGTTTTTGTACTTTTGAAGGATCTGAAAATTTGAAAAAATGTACAAATTAGTTTTTGTTTCATTTAAAAATTGGTATACAACTATTTGAAATTCAATATTTTAAAAATGCGTTAAATTTAAAAAAAAACTAAAATTTTATAGCAAACTGAAATTTTTAGATTTATACTAATTACATTTAATTTGTAAAAATTGATAACAATAAATTGAAGAAACATGAGTAAAACAAATTAAACTACTTACCTTCAGTTGAAACACCTGAACAAAAGATGAATAAAAATGTTGAGCAAAAAATATGCACAGTCATGTTAAAAATTAATGAAAGTTAACTTTTTTAAAAACTCAATATTCCATAATAAAAAAAAAGATAAAATAAATAATAATTCAAAAACGTTTCAATCTAAAGCTAAAATAACTGCTTACATGAAAAGAATTTGTCTGAATCAGAACAGCTTGTGTCAAGATTGCATAGCTGGAAACTAACAATGCTCTGAAGATTTTGTAAAAATGCACACCACAGAATTGCTAGTTGGAAAGAAAAAAATGTATAAACGATTAAAAATTAAAATTAAATGCTGGTAAAATAAAAGAAACAGTCAAAAGTTAGTTTACTATATAGCAATAACTGTACATCATTCATTCCAAAGCTAATTTTAACAACTAATGGAAACTTTTCAAAGGATCCTATTATTCTGTAATAAACGAGTGATCTTTTTACAACCTTATATTTAACTAATTCCTCATCATATCATGATTTTCCCATCATGGGTGGTATATTGTGATTGAATTTTCACCCACTACATACATTTTTGCCATCTTTCTTCATATTCTGCTCCTTTAGGTAATTCCACAACAGGCAGCCCAGTCCATTTCCTGATATCCTCCATTCAATTTTGTCTTAGCATTCCCCATTACGATACTTAGCAATGTTCTTATATGGACCAATCACATTGGTGATTCTTTCACTGACCTTTTCATTTATTATATGATCTGTGTATTTTGAGATATCTAGGAGTCTGCACTAACTTATTTCCCAGTCTTGGAACCATCTCTAAAGATCTGCATTTACAGTCCATGCCTTGTAACCATATAAAAAAGATGGACATGACTAGTGGCAGCATAACTTTGACTTTGTGCCAAGAGAAGTCTTTCTGTCTTTCTATGCTTGTTTGGGCAATTCTCGCAAGTAATTCTGGCTTTGTTCCCAAATTAGACAGGATGGTGCCAAGTTACTTGAAGGAGTGGACCTCCAATTCTTTGATCTTCTTGTATGTCTGCCATTATACAACAGGGATTTTTAAACCTTAGACTTCTCAGTGCTGATTTCCATGCCATATATAATGTTCTGTCCAATCTACTACTGCACCAGATATATATATATATATATACATATATACATATATATATATATATACATACTAGCTTGCCCATCCTCACGTGTTGCTGCTGTCACAGAAGAAAGTCTGAAGCATTGTTTTAAGAGGGTTTCAAAAATGCATTACCAATCCTACATTCTTATATGTGTGATCTTGTTTTCTAAAACTGAGTTATTTAATGTAAATAATGCCTGCACTATTTGTCTTGGATCACATTTTTCGGGGCACAGGTTCACCCACACTACGAAAGCCTTGAGTGTATGTTAATCACTCTCCACAATTTGATGACGGCCCAGGTGTCAGGTATGTAGTGGGGTGCTCTTAGGAGCCCAGGTTACATACAGCAGAAGTGCTGTGTATAGCTCCTGGCTCGGTTTAATCATCAAATGTTGTGTGCCACCATGTCAATACAGTAGGGTGCTCCTTAAAATGAACGTAAGCGCCATAGTGCTCACAGGATAGCACCAAATAGCACCCTATATATATATGTGTGTGTGTATGTATGTATGTATGTATTCTTTAATCACAATGTTCATTCCTCAAATAATGTACTGCAGATTTGCTGTTGTTAAATAACTTTTGTAAATTTAATACAGATTGAGGAACAATAGACTGATAGACAAACTAACAAGCATTTATAATTTAAATAAAAAATATAACACATATTAAATAAGTCTACAGGACATTACCCCCTTGGATATCCCCCCCCGGACATTTCCCCCCCTGTATTTACCCCCCGGAGCAATTACCCCCCTGTCAATTACCCCCCCCCCCCCCCTCTCAAGTTAAAATCCCAACTCTAACTAGAATTTTATACCTATATACTACTTTAATCCAAACCTCAAGAAAAAGACCAAAACCTAAGCATCCACCTTAGCCTAAAACTTCACACAAAACCAAAGCTAGACACAACCCTAACCCTAAAACTAGCCCTAACCCTAGCCCTAAACCTAAACCTAGCCCTAACCCTAAAACCTAAGCCTAACCCTAACACTAAACCTAGCCCTAGCCCTAACCCTAGCCCTCTGCCTAACCCTAACCCTAAAACCTAACCCTAACCCTAGCCCTAAACCTAACCCTAAACCTAGCCCTAACTCTAACCCTGTCCTATTGGGCGGGGGGGGGGGGGTAATTGACAGGGGGGGGGGGGGTAATTACTCTGGGGGTAATGTCAGGGGGAAATATCCGGGGGGTAATTGACAGGGGGGAAATGCCCTGTTCCCATTAAATAAACTCAATATTACCACTTGTTCCACTGGTCCTTGATGCTTGAGAGTTAAAAATGTTAATAGCATTAACAAAAGCATAAGGTGAGTCTCCAAAAGTTCCAGAAAATTCCTTATGTGAAAGTATACATGCTTGTGCCACAGCATTAACCAAAGTTGTAGTTATAGCAGTCTTGAACACTAAGCTGGCATTGAAACTGGTGTAAGGCAGATTTGTGGTATTGTCTGTGTAGTTTCTGGACAATGATAAAGTTATTCATCAGGGGTTATATCTGTTTGCAATTCTAGATTTGTCTAATTAACTGAAAATTAAAGTTTTATTTATAAAATACCTTAATAGAGAAGTTAATTGTAAATTATTACTGATGCCTAATGTCTCATCTATACTATCCATGTCATGTATGTTTCCTACATACTTTTTCAGACTTCTAGTCAATTTTAAAAATAACTACAAGTGTACACCCAGCTTTGCATATGTATACCAAAGCACATGGAATGTTACATGAGGTGACTAATGCATGTAATTCATTTTTTAAAAAGTAGCTAGGTAAAAAAAAAGTACAAAACATTTTTCAAACGAGATGGCCTAATGGGGCAGGTGAAGTAGAGTACACCTGTTTCTGTAACGTCGGCATATAAGGGGACAGCTCTATGTTCAGCCCCCAGGTAGCCCTAATGTGAGCCTGGTACCCATCAGAGCTGGGTGAACTCAGCAATGTTCTACTGACACAAATCCAGGGTCATTACAAAAAGCCATTTTAAATTGTTTTATCAACTAGACATGGTCTGCAGACTTCCACTTTATTCAGCACACTTTTGACAAAAATTATTCCTTCCAACAATAATTGGCATACATGTTCTTGATATGTCTTGTATGAGAATGTAACATTCTAAAATTAAGAACTGGAAATTTGGTTTATAAAAAGTTCTAAAAATAGAAAACATACCTGCTGGTTTCAACCACAGAGTACAGAAAACTTGGTGTTAGCTGTGTAATTTCTTTTATAGCCTAGAAATGGAAACGGTACAAGTGGAATACTATAATTATATTTGACATTTATATGAACTAAAAGCTTCAAGAAGATCCCCTCCATCTCCCCACTACCCCCTCCCACAAGTCTCTTAATCACACAGCTCAGTTTATTTAAAGTTCTAGTGCAGTAAAATGCACCTTTATGTGGACATTGCACGACACCTCCAGAAAAAATAAGAAAGATACACATTTAATATAGAAAATATATACTTCAACCAGTATTTAGGAGTCCCCCCCCCCCCCCCCCCACAGTAGAAAAATTTCTGAAAGAGAACCTGGTAGTAACTTAATCAAAACATTTACTAAAATTAATTTATATAACCAAACTGTACCAGGGAGGGTAAGAACAGAGAGACACAATTTCATGTGCCTAAATTCTATTGTTTTTACACATTTATTTTAAACACTGAATATAGCTTCATTTTATTTGTACAATGTTTTTACCAAAACTATTTGTTTGTTTGGTTGCAATTCTAAATCAGCTCTCCAAAGCCTTACCTAATTATGATCATGACTCAAATAGCAGAAGAAAAATACTTCCTGTGATAATTATAGTCTTATTACCAATTTTATAACAACCCCAGTTATTTTCTTAAACATATAAGGCTTGTCTAGCCACTATCGATTATGAAACTCCTGGATATTTTTTAAGATTTATTGAGCAGGAAATCATTGAAACAGATTAACTCTACTTCATATGACCCATGTGTTTTGGGCACAATGTGGAAAAAAATATAGATTGAGCAAGAAGTAACCTTTAAATAGTTTTTAATATAGTTTTACTGGGAAAAAATTATTCAAATAAGTTCAGTTTTAAAAATTAAGTTTCAAAATTTGTACTATCAATCAAACAACAAAATATCACCTTACATTTGCATTAAGAAAATCATTCAGTTCTGATTGGGAAGCAAATGAAGTGTCAATAGTTGCACTAATGTAAATCTTGCGCATCTCAGTACCTGATAAAAGTAGCAATTCATATTTTGATTTATGTATTCATTGCCATATAATTCAAAAAGATTAATGCTACTATCAGTATGTTGCATTTTCAATATTTGAACCCATTTACTTTAGTACCATACATAATTATTTTTCAATTTTGATGGTTTTTATTATTCCTTGTTTGTAGATTAATTCCAATTTACTAATCAAATTATGCTTAACAATAAAATAAGGTCATATGGCTAAACCTATCCAGTGATTCAATTTAATGAATCTTTCTTTTCATCACAAAATAAATTATCCATTATAAAATAAAAACAAAAATAATTAATTACTTAAATTAAAAAAATTTAATCTGGCCAAGAATGTAAAGAAAAATTATTATTTTTTATAGGCCTATATATATATATATAAATATAAATACATATAAATATGTATATATATATATATATATATATATATATATATATATATATATATATATATATATATATATATATATATATATATATATATATATATATATTATACTAACAACCACAGTTATTACAATAAAAACTTATGGCGAACTGAAAAAAAACTGGCTAACTAACTTGGTATGTAGGTGACATTGAAGTTCAATGGTGGAAAGTTAACTTTAATATTGTAGTCCTGAAATGCAGAAATTAAACAACTTGATATACTTTTAAATGGTAATAAAAATATTTTTACAATGTTTCCAGTTGTGCAAACTCATGAATGTTTCATTTTATTTGCCTTTCAATCTATAAATTAATAAATAAATAAATATATATATATATATATATATATATATATATATATATATATATATATATATATATACTTGAGACTACATTTCTGCTATTTTAGTTGTTCTTAATTTTAGTTTAGAAGTGCGATGACTGGAGAAGGTTTATGTTTATGTTTGTTTATGTTTGAGGTTGTGGTTAATTGTGATTAGGGTTAGGTTTGGAGTTAGGTTTAGGGTTTTATACAAATATATTCTATCTTTGCATATGTACATGAATTGGAATTTTGATATATTCCCAAGACTTTTGCAGTGCAAGGTATTTGATGCTAAATAAACACACAAATCACAGATCCTTTACAGAATAGTTATTTTGTTTTTACAAAAACCAGTGCAGAGCCTGGCTGGAATGGCTAGTTGGTAATATTTTTATTTGGTAACATTTGTATTTAGTAAAATATTGTGTTTACAACAGTTAATGAAAACTTCATAATTTTGTTTAATAAATATTTGTGACAAGTGAGATAGACATTTAAAATATTTTTGTCTTGAATTTTTCACTTAAGAAATGAAAACAGGACTATTAAAAAGTATAGGCATTACAAAAACAATGTATGTTTAATATTTTTATTTAAAAAATGATATATTTAAATTATTGCTTAATGTTTGATAATAAATTCAAGGTTTTATTTTAAACACTGCTGTATATAATTTTCAAATGTCAAGCTGGTTTTTTGTTTATGTAAGTATAACAAAAATGCATGTGTCTTTTACCCATAATAAATGACAAAGTAGTTTAAATAGGCCAATACATTTAAGCTAAAACTCACCGAAAAGTTAGCAGCTGCTAATGTCAGATTGGAGAAAGATTCTAGAACTGTTTCCACTGTTTTCCTCATATCCCCATTGCCAGCTTTTGTGAATTCTCTAAAATCAAGTTTGTTATGAAGCTCAATACTATTATTATATTTAGTTTAAAGTAAATGAAAAAAAAATGTATTTTAAAATTTAAAAGTGTTTTCGAAAAATTCAAATGCTGGACACTTACGGCACATTGTAACCTTCAATGGTTGCTGTTGATGTGAAGTCTTTGCAGTTGCTTGATGAGCTGCACGTTGAGCCCAGTTTACACAAGTTATTTTGTTTGATTTGGATGATGATATTGTCACAGTTGGGTAGATTTTGACAAAGCTCTCTGGATTTTATGAGAAAAGTAAATAAACTTTAAGATATCTTAAAATATAAACATAATAACTTCTAATTTATGTTTAACATATTTTTAAGATAATTAAGTATTTGCTTTACCTCTTAGAGGTGAGTCTACTTAAGTTATGCTTTTGGCAAAACATTTATCAAGGAATTGGGGAGTGAGGGTAAAACTATTTTACTGCCATCTTGTGGCAATCTTCACCGTGCAACTGCTTCCCCCCCCCCCCCCAATATATATTATATATATTTATATATTTATATATATTTTATTTACAACAACCTAGGTCAGGACAGTCCTACTTTGTTACTATATAATTAAAACATACAGTGCCTGGACTGAGATTGTGAGGCAGTAGTCATACAATATTTATAATTATACTTACACACTATAATTACAGATTATATTTAACAATACATGTAATCCTGAATTTATTTGGTAGATATTTTTTAGTAAGTCAGACACATGCTTTGCTCCAGTTGAACTTCATGGAATATTCAAAATTGTAAAAATTTAAAGTCCATAAGTAGCAATCTTAGCAAGAAAAAAAGACCTATGGTCAGTGTTTCTTCCAGACTTTTTTCTCCGGGGGGGCACTTGAAATTTTCGGGGGGGGCGGTAAACTTTCTTCGGGGGGGCGGACACTGTTAAAAGTATATATTTTCTATATAAATTATATAAATTTCCTTCCGTTCGGGGGGGGGGCGGTAAAAATTTTTCGGGGGGGCTTCGCCCCCCCCCCCCCCCGAAGAGATGCCTGGAAGAAACTCTGCCTATGGTCACAGCTAAATTCAATACATGGCTTGATCATTGTTAACTTACGTTTTTGGGTTTTTAGATATAAAGTTGTTTTTCATCATCAATGCCCCAGAAGTGTAGAGAGTGTCTGAGAGCTGACATTTTGTTTGAGAGTATTCAATCAGAATACTAAAATCTATCTGTTTTATTGTTTTAGCTGTGAAAACATATTTTTTTTATTAGAGCTTTAATTTATTTAATTTAAATAAAGTTCCCCATTTGGACTTGATGGTTCATTGGGCAGATAAAATGTGTCTGCTTATTGACCCTGGCATATGCAGGTGGTGTGGTCAGCACAAAACCTAGCTGCCATTACTTTGCCTAACATGTGATAGGGAGCCATCAGAGCTTCTAATTTATTTAGAAGCATTAATTTTAATTTATTTAGAAGCATTAATTTTTATTTATTTAGAAGCATTAATTTTAATTTATTAACATTATCAGTTTCATCTTATTCAGAAAGAACACTACAAGTTCAAAATGGTCATTTCTCCTAAAGGGAATATCTTTTATTTTCTTGAATTCTGAATGACTTAGCTTGCGTGCAGGGTTGGCATTTTTGGAACCTAGCATTTTATTTGATGAAAGCCTGCAACAGATTATAAGCAATGAAGAGGTTGGTGGTTACCTATTCCTGAGGGATTGCAGGATGTTTTGGTGGTGGTTGTGTATTGACAGTAAAGACAGTACATGTTTGTCCCATCATTGTATTCATCTGCACTACAAGCTACACAGCTACCACTCAGCCAGCTGAAGCCTGTACCAGCTGCACATTTACCTGAGAAGTTATTTTAAAAATATAATGAAGCCTGTAAAGTTGTTTGAAAAAATGCTCTGGAGAACTTAATATTAAAATAATGTTGTTATTAAAAGGTTAAGATTATTTTTAGATTCCTTTTAAGTTATTAAACCCACTGAGGTTAAAACTTTAAAATCTACTTATCATAAGTAAAAGTTAATAATATCTCTAATAGGTTTAAAGCAACTTGAAATATAGATTTAACACTTTTTGTCAATTGTTGTTCAGGTTTTCTATTTTCTCTATATGGTAATCCATAAATGATGTAACAATTTTTGTTGTTGCTTTTTGTCCCCCTTCCCCTTGTAATCACAAGAAGTCTGATACCCTATCCCACTATTGCACTTTTTAATTTTAAAAGTGATTTATATCTTGAACAATACCTAAGCTGGGTTAACATTAGATAAGTGAAAATACTCAGCTTAAAATATTACTGTTTAAAATGTGTAAGTATGAAACCAAATTTTCTAACCCCTTTCTCTCCCTCATTCCAGTGGTCTTAAGCCCATTCCCCTCCTCCCCACGAGTGTAGTTTATTGACAACAACTAGGAAACCATGGTTTAAAAACCAATTTATATGCTTACCACTGAAAGGAGTTGTGGTGGGAGTTGGTGATGTTTCTGACACTGTTTAACAGAAAATAGGTAAAATTATTAAATTACAATCTTTTATGATTACTAATTGAAGGATAAAACTTCATTAGTAATTTATTGACAACAACTAGGAAACCATGGTTTAAAAACCAATTTATATGCTTACCACTGAAAGGACTTGTGGTGGGAGTTGGGGATGTTACTGATACTGTTAAATCAAAAATAGGTAAAATTATTAAATTAGCATTTTTTATAATTACTAACTGAAGGATAAAACTTCTTTAGTTTATTATACAACTACATACCTGTGGTAGGCACCTCCCTAATAGATTTTAAAAAAAAAGAAAGTAAAAATAAATTCATAATTATTTATTTATTTGTGATAAAAAAAATAAAGTATAGTTTCTAAATGTATATTAATATATATTGAAGCTTATGTTTTTGTAATTGTTATTACTTACTGGCACTCAGCTGTGTTATTTGAATTTTTAACACATATAAAATTGCTCTTGCAGGGCTCTGTTTGGTTCAGTAGCAAACACTTGTCTGTGTTAGTATCCACTGAAAGAAATGTCATTGTGTGGTTTAATCATTAATTAACACTAATACAATTCAAACTGTCTAACCTATTCTAACGTGCATTCAAAGAATGTTGTAAGGGAGATCTGCAGTGAGCAGTAGTGATTGGTTAATGAAAGATTTTTATAAATTTTGTTTGAACACCTACCAGCAATTCCATTGATGGCCACAGTGGTACCGTAAGTTACATTGTTTATTGGGATGCCAGTGCTGGCCAGAGAAAGAAATGCATTGACCACAGCACCAGCTGCATTTGGATTGGCTGTCTTGTTGACAGATAGCACTGTATCCAGAATTAAACTGCCTTTACTGTAGACATAATTTAATTTATATATATATATATATATATATATATATATATATATATATATATATATATATATATATATATATATATATATATATATATATATATATATATATATATAGGTTAACAACAAGTAATTAAGTATTTTGATATTTGCGTAAGTAAAGTCCATCAAAGGTTGTATGATTTTCTTTTATTAAAGAGAATAACCTAACCTCATTGATCTGACTTCAACTTTCAATAGACCAGGTACATCCATTTTATTTGATAGCTAAGAAGATAAGGAAAAATAATTTAAAATTAAAAACATAAAAAATTAACATCAATAAATATGTACCATTTTTACTAACACTGAGGATAAAAATATTAAAATAAAGCATGTTCTTTTTTAACAAAAGCAAGGAATTGGTTTTCAGTAGTAATTTATGTAGAACGCCAACCGCACTAAGGATTTAGAATTTGGGGGTGTAGCTGATTGATTAGAATAAAAGTCAAAGGTTTGTTTTTAAATTCACTAACAGTAGACTCCAAATCTTTCTTGAGGTCAGCATATTCTGTGCTGCTTTCATTTAGTTGCTGATCACTAGCGTTGAAGTCAAGCCTCATGGTGGATGGGTACTCAGCAATCACTGTAGCAGCTAAACATAGAAGACACATCATGCATAATATCTATCTATTCATAAGTAAAGGTTTTTTTCCATAGAACTTTGATAACACTTAATAACAGTATGTCATAAAAAAATTTCAATCATAGTTTATTAAAAATTTCATTAAAAAATAGTTTGTTATAGTGCCATTCTATAGTGGCCTATTAATCATGACTGCATAGTATAATAGACCATCGTTTGATGGTAAATTGGAAATCCCAGCACAAAGAAAGTGCCCTAACTTGAGAAGAGCCAAATATTGGCCATGTATCAGGTCCCATCTCTCCACACAGCTGATGGACCCAAAAGAGACAGTACCTTATGTGTACAGCTGTGTCGCAGGAGCTGTCGAGAGGAAACTTAGTTGGTAATGCTATCCCGTAAGGGGCTCCACCCCACGCCTGTTTGATTTCGGAGTTTTCTCTCCTAGTTGGGTTGTTGCCCCTGACTGACAAGCCTCATCTGCTCCAGAGTTCGAACTCGGGACTTTCGGGTTGGCAACCATGCCTTTACCCGCCCGCTCAACCCTTAGATAGTTTTTTTTTATACTATATTATTCATATTCGTAGGGCTTATCCCTACTAAAGTACTACTCGATGTTTGCCAAGTGTAAAAACATCGTAATTTTGGATACACGTGATTCGATATGTGAAGGTTGTTAGTTAAGTATTGAGCACTGATAGATAGCTGATGTCTTTGAGTGGTTAATACTTTTAGATTTTTTTTTCTGCAGATTGGCTACTTACCAATTGTAGTGGTTGTCTTGGTAGTAGTGGTTGTGGTAGGGGTAATGGTAGTGGTTTGGCCTGTCGATTGTGTATTATCTGCAGCAGTGGATGATACGGTTTGACCTGTCGATTGTGTATTATCTGCAGCAGTGGATGTTGCGGTTTGACCTGTCGATTGTGTATTATCTGCAGCAGTGGATGTTGCGGTTTGACCTGTCGATTGTGTATTATCTGCAGCAGTGGATGTTACGGTTTGACCTGTCGATTCTGTATTATCTGCAACAGTGGATGTTACGGTTTGACCTGTCGATTCTGTATTATCTGCAACAGTGGATGTTACGGTTTGACCTGTCGATTCTGTACTATCTGCAGCAGTGGATGTTACGGTTTGACCTGTCGATTCTGTATTATCTGCAACAGTGGATGTTACGGTTTGACCTGTCGATTCTGTACTATCTGCAGCAGTGGATGTTACGGTTTGACCTGTCGATTCTGTACTATCTGCAGCAGTGGATGTTACGGTTTGACCTGTCGATTCTGTACTATCTGCAGCAGTGGATGTTACGGTTTGACCTGTCGATTCTGTACTCTCTGCAGCAGTGGATGTTACGGTTTGACCTGTCGATTCTGTACTATCTGCAGCAGTGGATGTTACGGTTTGACCTGTCGATTCTGTACTATCTGCAGCAGTGGATGTTACGGTTTGACCTGTCGATTCTGTACTATCTGCAGCAGTGGATGTTACGGTTTGACCTGTCGATTCTGTACTATCTGCAACAGTGGATGCTACGGTTTCAGCTGTAGTAGAAACTTCTTCAGTATCTGTAGCGTTGGTTGTTTCTACATAAGTTGTATTTTCTGTGGAATTGCAAATAAGTTAGTAAATTATTCAGCTTTAAGGAAATTTATATTGTACAGTGGATATTATACAATCAATAATCTAACATAAAGTTCAATTCTGTATGTATGTATGTAGCGGACGGACCAGTAGCGTACGCAGGGGGGGGGGGAGCAGGGGGAGCGGCCGCTCCCCCTCTTGCCATTTTCAGCAAAGTGGCGCCTTTTTGGAAACTTTTTAAACTCAAAGTTTTAAACAATGATATTTGTTAAAAACATATTTTTGGTCGGCACATCTATGTAAATCACAAGATTTCTTTTCATGCAGCAATTAAGCATTATTGTACTAGTCTAGTAGTGTCTAAGTTTACAACACGTATTAACAGCTACATCAGTTTGCCATTCTAAAAATAACCATTACAGTTACAACCCCCCCCCCCCCTTCCCACATGGACTTATTTAAATCTATTCCTGTAATATATATTTGTGTAATATATATTTTGTGTAATATATATGTATTTTTAGAACAGTCATCTAAAAACTGACGCTATGTTCACTCTGAGTTGGTTATCTCCCCCCCCCCCCCCCCACACACACCTCACCACCACACTTGTGTAGAGCTACATTAATGTCACACCTAGGTATACACTGGGTTGGATAATTGACCTAAACTGAACGGACAGTGGTGAATGAAGTTGAACCCGCCCCCCCCCCCCCCAACCCACCCCGAACTGATCTGTTAAGTACATGTAGAAAAACGCGTAATGATGTATCAAAGTACCATGCCGCCAGAACATTAGCTTTTTAAACGTAAAACTATGTGAATATTGTTTTTGCAATTACCAGTAAAAAGGTGTGTGATCAATACAGTGATCTAACCCATACCTATCACTATGTTAAAAATGATCTTTAAAAGAACAAAAGGAAGCAGTAGTTTTAATTAAAATATATGATCTGAACTAAACAGACCGATATTTAGTTAAATGTAGGCAGTTATTCCGAATGTTTTTCTATTATATCGAAAAGCGTGGTTTTATACCAACTCTGATTTTAAAAACTTTCATTATGCTGTAATACTTTGGCATTTATGATGATGATATATTAAATTCTGATTATAGACAAAAACATTTGGTAAACACGAATAGTGTTAAATAATTACTTTAGAATGTAATGACATTGTTTATTTGTGGACAAAAAAATCTCCACGGGCAGGATGAGAGGACCTTACTTTAGAATGTAATGAAATTGTTTATTTGTTTTGACATTTATAATTAACTGTGTAGATATATACATATTTATATTAAGAGAGTGATTATTTCCCCTATTTCACTTGTCTTAAATAATTTCAGAGGAATTATTATGTAAGAATTTTTTTTACAAGAATTACAAAACAGATTGTGCTACGTTCGTTGTTTTTGGTCGTATTGTGTATATATATATATATATATTTTTCGTTTAAATTAATACCATTTTTGTTTTGTCGGCCTACATTGTGTGTTTTTTCTTATTTCTTCAGAGTGCTGCTTTCAATTTATTTTACATCATAGCGAAGTAAAGACATATTGCTAGTAGTTATATACATATATATATATATATATATATATATATATATATATATATATATATATATATATATATATATATATATATATATATATATATATATATATATATATATATATATAATACACGTATATAGAACGTGTTAAAAATTCGGCGCCTTTTTTTGCCCTTTTCGCTCCCCCTACAACGAAAACCTGGATACGCCTCTGGGACGGACCCGTGATTACAAAGAAATAGAGAGGAAAAAAATATACTTGGCCGCCATAGTGTGATACATCCAAAGTGCTCATCATCTTTCTAAATTAATGATTTTATAAATGTATATTGAAGGTTTATAAAACAAATTTCATTTTCCAAACTTGTAATGTTAATTGACGACATGTGCATTAAACAAAACTAAAGGAAATGTATCAGCCTTTACACAAATTCTAATTGTGTCTAAAAATTGTTTACTTTTAGTATTTAGCACTCATTACTTCCCTTGATAAATTAGGAAAACACAATTACTTCCCTTTAAACATCATTATATCGGGGGAAAACATTACTTTTTATTACTTTGTTTTGTGTTGGGAAAAAAGTAATTACATAATTAGCGTGGATTGATCAAGTGAAATGTTGAAAAAATTAAATCAGTCATTTTAAAAAGGCCTACTGCCTTTTATTTATATTATGCCCTGAGCGTACTGTTTACTAATATTTTTAAATCAATAACAGTTTAGAAGCCAGCTCCTAAATATCCTCTATGTTTACTTCTATCTTTCAGTTTGCGGATAAGCTTGGTATATTATAGTCGTTCACTAAATTGATTCAAGCGCGTCCACCGGCACCACGGCAGGGTTCGATTTGGCGCCCTGGGCTACCTTGTGAGCGCTAAGGTGCAGAAATCCGTTTTAAACAGCAACTATGGATAAGAAAGGTTACTATAGTCTTTAACTGAATCGAATCCGGGTGTCCTCCGGCGCCCAGGGACTTCCTGTGTTAGCTATGACGTCTAAGTTCGTTTTATTGAGTGCAAAAGACTATGAATAAGTTGGGGTACTGTAATTGTTTACTAAGTTTACTTAGCATGGTGCGATTTGGCACCCCGGGCTAGACTATGAGCACATTGCGTTTATGTTTGCGTTTTCTTTTTGTTTGGGTTTGGATTTGCGTTTGTGATTGGGTTTGTGTTTGTGTGTGCGTTTGGATTAGGGTTTGTTTTGGTTTGCTTTTTTGCTTGCGTTTGTGTTTGTGTTTTCTTTGTGTTTGTATTTGTGGTTGGGTTTGAATTTTCGTTTGCATTTGCGGCTTTTTGTGTGTGTTTTGGTTTTGGTTGGTTGTGGTTAGGGTTAACTCGAAAAGTAATATATTTTCTTAACCCGGGTAATGCCGGATATATGCTGATTACTAAACACACAAGTCATGGTCAATCATATATAGGTTTTTTAACAGAGGCCAGTGCATGGCCTGGCCCGGCCGGCTAGTCTAATATATAAAGCTCAAACGGATTATGTGACTCTGTAAGTATGTATGTGGCGGGCGGACTGATCAGAGTTTCTTCCAGGCATATCTTCGGGGGAGCGAAGCCCCCCCCCCCCCCCCCCGAATTTTTTTTACCGCCCCCCCCCCCCCCCCGAACGAAATGAAATTTATATAATTTATATAGAAAATATATACTTTTAACAGTGTCCGCTCCCCCGAAGAAAGTTTACCGCCCCCCCCCCCCCCGAAAATTTCTAGCGCCCCCCACCCCGGAGAAAAAAGTCTGGAAGAAACACTGGGACTGATCCTTGACAGTAGAGGCATATAGTAAACAACTTGACTTGATCGCCATAGTGCAAAACACAGTCAAAGAAAATGTATTATCCTTCACAAAAATGAATAAATTGTACAAATTACTTCACTTAGTTCGTTATTGTAGATTACTTCCCTTGATAAATCACAAAAACAGAATGCTTCCCTTTAAAAAAACAATACATGGGGGGGGGGGGGGCTTTATATTTTTTTGGTGTTGGGAAAAATATACTGCCTTTTGTTTATTTTATAATTTGAACGTGCTGTTTACTAATTATTATTTCTAATAAATAACAGTTTAGAAGCCGCTCCTAATGGCCTCTATGTTTACTTCTATCTTTCGGACAGACTGGTAGTATTATAGTCATTCATTAAATTGTACCAGGCACGTCGGCCTGATATCCAGTTACTGGTATCATTATTTAATAGTTTGTTGATTCAAAATTTGAATAAGCTTGCATAATCTTGTTATATTGATAAACAAAGTAACCTTTGTTATATTTTTAAAATTCTGTTATTAATAAAACTTCAATAAAATATTCTAAGATTTAAGTCTGTGTGAGTATTTCTAGTCATTTTTCAACATTCTCTTAAGTAAAACACGCTATTTAATACTCTAGGGGAGAGTCTTTACTGTTAAAAATATATGACATTTATATTGCTTTGTGAGAGATGACATCCATTAAGTCCATCATATAGGCTACAATGAAATATACTAGGAAAATTAAAGGTCTGGGCATAGTGCTAACATTTAAATAACTAGCATATTTATACTCAATATATTGTTATTTTCTCGTGTGTCATCATGTCTGCAAGAAATACCTACATTTACATTAAGTATTTAATTTTTTTTAATCCTTTCAGCTTTAAGATCACCTCACTGTATTATTGTTTACCTGCTGGTGCCACGTATGGGTCCTGCACGCTCCGGCTGTGTCAACGAGCGGTAATTTTAAAGGGATGAAAACACACACAAAATTAAACTTGGGATAAGTTGTAAATTAGGTAGGGGGGGGGTGTTGGTGGAGTGTGACGTCATTTTAGAGGGGGGTATGACTTTTTGTGACGGTGTGTGAGGTAGGGGGGGGATTGAAAATTGCCCAAAAAGCGTGACGTCATTTATGGTCGACCGCTATAGCCAACTATATAATGTTATCATGTTGTTGATCTATATGATGTTATCATGTTGTTCTATATGATGTTATCGTATTGTTCTATGTGATGTTATCATGTTGTTCCAAAGATTAAACATAAATAACTAGACTAAACTAATTTATACCGGCCACAAGCTACATTCTCAGATTAGAACGGCATGTTTTTTTCTGAGGATATTAATTTTTTGAAAAAGATAACTCACCTGTAACGGAATAAAATTGGCATCAAGTCAAGTGTTAGTAATAATTACAAGTCTTAACAGGATTGACTCACATACTCACGCACGCACGAACGCAAACGTATACACACACACGCATCTATAAGTCTACTTAAATATATGTACATACATTATACGCATGAGGGTCGATCGGGTAAGCACATGATTGCTTACCGGCAAGACACTGTCGGAGCCTGCGAAGAGGCCGAGACAGGTGTCAGCAAGAGAGATCTCAAGACGCTCTATGCAACAACCAGAGCTCTGAGTGGGGGGGGGGGGGGGGAACCAATCCCAACAGGCCAGTGAGGAACGA